GTTTGAATGTACGTATGTCCATATATCATATATGATGAGCGCTCATGATAAAATGGATCCAAATATTTTTTTTTCACGTGATTTATATGGTTTAATTTAAATTGGGTAAACAACTGTTGAGGATTGTTTTAATATGTAAACAAAAAAGAAGGTTAACAGATCTGTTTATTTACTTTCACCTTTCCTTTTCATTATATTTAATAATTCTCTTAAAGATAATGTAAATTGTTAAGAAAAGTGTTTTCTTTTAGTGCCTTCTGTAATGTTACATAATTTTTTCTTTAGCCATTATTGCCAGAATTCCTATCTTCATCCCAGTGCCGGTGAAGACAATGTAAATTGTTAAGAAAATTGTTACATAATTTTTTCTTTAGCCATTATTGCTAGAATTCCTATCTTCATTCCAGTGCTGGTGAAGTCAAAGATAAAACCAATCTACAGCTTCTACAATAGCCATCACTGAACTGCTTGCAGAACTTGCCTGGACACATTGTGAGCTCACCTGTACGCATTGTGAACTATCTGTTGGTGCAGCGACTTGTGGTAGTGTTGGGGTATTTTTGCTGATGATGTCACCGGTGGTACAATTTTTCAAAGGAGCCCTCAATTGGCTTAATGTCATGGCATTTTGCATCCTCCTCTACTAGTGATGGTCTAAAATTTTGGGGCCAACAGAGGTGAGGCAAAGAACCTCACCCCCCCACTGGTGCAAAGGCCTATCCACAAGTATAGCTGTATGCTGGACCGGTAGTCAGTGACGGGTATGATCCAATTGCAGTGGTACCAATCTAAGACAGGAGGCTGACGCCTAGAGGTCAGTTCATCCGATGACGGGTAAGGACCATATGTTGAATTGGACTGCCTAACAGGCACGGTCCCTAAGCCACATGCTTGTTGTTTAAACAGAGAGGGGGAGATGTTGAGAGCCACAGCCGAAGGGGCCCCAGCAAACTTCCAGCTGCCGGCTGATGATTGGCTCACAGCGGCCCCAGCAACATCTAGCTGATTGGCTCCTCGGCCCCAGCAACATCTAGCTGATTGGCTCCTCTGCGGTGATGCTCATTGGACTGTTTCCCTGCCCTTTCAGACCACGGAGCTGCTCATTGGGGGACTTTTTGGCTCTGCCCACGTGACCCAGCCAATCGGCCTCAAGAGCAGGAGGATTGTGGGAGGTGGAAAGAAGCTTGGGGGGGGAGAGAGAGGCTTGTGGAAAGCCGGTGGTGGCAGTTGAGGCTCTGAGGATTTTTCCTGAGAGGCTGTTTTGTTTGGCGTGTTTGGTTCTAAAAATAAAGTTAGTTTCTTTTGACAAGTGGCTTCTGATTGTGCCCAGCCAGACTGCGGCAATAGCCACACTGGCTTTTATGACAGCCTTAGATCTGGAAATCAATGAGAAGAATTAAAGAATATACTATGAAAATTTAAAAAAATCCAAAAGACAGATCTGAACATAATGTGAAAAAAATCTTTCAGAATATAAGAAGGAAAACACAAAGCCAAATACATAAGAAAATACTCCTGAAGGTCAACAGAAATTTTCTTGAAAATAAAGAAAGTCACATTTTCAGACTAAAAAGTCACACTGGTGTCCCACAGAGCAAGAGGAGAAAAAATATTTAGGCATAACTTATGCAATTCCAGGATAAAAATACAGGAATACTTAAAGCTTTCATAGCAGAAAAAAAATCCCATAAAACTAAAGAAATAAATATTAGATATAACATCAGGCATCTCAATTAAACACTGGATGCTAGACACGAACAGAAAGATGCATTATGTTCACAGAGAAAAAAAGGACTATGGCCTAGAATTCTTTATCTAGTCATATTATCAACCAACTAGAGAAGAAAAATGAAAACAATTTTATTTCTTCTTTTTTCCTTCTCAGTTTACTGAAAGAAATGATCAAGAAGAAATGAAACCCAGGAAATAGCTGATTCAACCTAGAAGTATAAGGATAACAAGTCCCAAGATAAGAACTATGCAGCAGGCCCAAGGGCAATCAGTAAAGACTAGAACAAATCTTAAGGGCTTAGGGAAAGAATCTCTGAGTGAATGTGAATTTTAAGCCATAGATGATGAAAGGACTTGAAGGTGATGAAAGCACATTATTCTTTCATCAACAAGAGGGTAAAAACAATTTGAAAGTCAAGAAAAAGCAAAAACTGAACAAAAAGTCATGATATGGCAAATCAAAAGGTTTTCAACAACTGATAGAATGAGAATTCACTTTGATTTTAATCAGAACTTACTTTTTTTTAGTTTGGCATAAGGATTGGCAGTAACAAGGGACTCAGAAAGAAAATGTTACTTGTTTTCACTTTTCACTGTCCACAGAAAACATAATTGTGATAGTAGAACAGAATATTGGTGCAATTAAACTTATTAACATAAAATGAAAGGTATAGCTGACTTAAGGTGGGGAAAGAAAACAGGAAAGGTAGAGGAAGGGGAGAGGAAGAGTGAAATAGTGAAAAGCAAGGAGATGCCACCTAAAATTAATGAAGAAGAAATGGAAAGTACTTAAAGGTACAAAGTTGAGCACAGAAAAATTAAAAATAAATAGCTATCCAAATTAAAAAAGGGAGATAGGTGTTAAAGTGAGTTACACCATTTCTTCTGTAATTGAGGGTCTCTAATTTTTGTGTTGTCTCAAGAAAAGATAACTAATAGATAAAGCACAAATCAAATTAGGATAAAAATTATTGCCTATGGAGACAGGCCTAGAGGTGGGGGAGGAGACATATGTATTTTAACCATATGAAAATATGAATTAGAAAATACTTTAAAATAAAGTATGAATGAGAGAGAAAATGAAAATATGTGTGTGTGTACGCACCCTCTTTCAAGGACAGTTATTAAAAAAAAAAAAAAGTAAAAATAAGTTACTAGCCAGAAGACAACATTTATGACAGAAAATCCCAGAGTTGTAGAGCAGCCTCTAGCCATGTGACTCTTCAAATTCAAATTTAAATTAATTAAAATTACATAAAATTTGAAATTCACTTCTTAGTCACACTAGCCATATCAGGCACTCAACAGTGTCATGATATAGTGACCACCAAAATGGATTTTTGTGATGATTAAAAACATTTTTATCATCACAGAAATTTCTACAGGACAACTTTATTATAAATAACTAAATGCCAATGAGGCCTTATCTACCTTCATCTGAATGCAAAGTTTAACTGAACAACTCTTTTTTTTTTTGAACAATTCTTTACATGTGAGTATTCCAAGCACATTGCTTGAAAAATACAACGTTACCAATTCAGAATTCATATACAAAACATCTTTCTCTGCACATTGTAAAAGTAATTACTTGCTTTATAAGTAATTACATTACTTGCTTTAATGAGCACTTAGTGTATTTGCAATCAAAAGTAAAAATATTTATTATAATCATTTCTTTAAAAGAATTTTAAACTAGTTTACCATTACTAATGAAACATGATTTATAATACTTGAGAAGAAATCATTGGAACAGCCTCTTAACAACAGGAAAACATCTGAACAGTTACTTTAAAGAAAAAAAAATCTAATCTTAACAGATATTAGAACTGAAATTAAATTTCCTTAATTAATAACATTCTCCAGCCCTCTAAAGAGGAAATATTGAATCATAGAATTGGAAAGCAGGAGGAAATATTCAAGAAAAATCTTCTCATACTAGAGATGGGAAAACTGAGGTCCAGAGAAAGTAAGTATCTTAGCCCCACGCCTCACAAGTACTGTCTGCCAGCACTTCTCTCAGCCTGGCACTGTCTCCTCTACACCACACTGAACTGACAATCACTACATTTACATTATAAATAACAAAATAAAATTTCATAGCAAGGATTTGTCATTTTCTTTAACCCTTCATGGCCACTTCATGTGCTTTTTTGGAAACATAGATGAAAGTGCAAAAATCTGACAAAATTTTTCTTTCCCAATGACAACAGAAGTCATTTTTGACTGGTCCCCAACAGAAAAATATAGACAAACTTTTAAAATTAATAAAAATTTAGGCAAATCAAGGCTCAATAATATTTTCAAAGAAACTTTAGAGGAGAATCTAAGGTAATGGTTCTTATCTTTTTGTTTTTTTTAACTAAAAAACTCTGAAAAATGAAATAAAGGCAGTAGCTCAGAAAAAAAAAAAAAATGAACATGCAGACAAATTTTCCCAACAATGAGGAACTTCTAAAGACCATTCATGAAACGCAAGAATCTCTGAATGAAGGATTACCAAAAGAGTTAGCATTTTTTTTTCAAAACTATAATGGGGCTGGGTTGTAGCTCAGTGGTTGAGCACTTGCCTAGCATGTGTGAGGTACTGGGTTCAATTCTCAGCACTGCATATAAATAAAATAAAGGTCCACTGACAACTAAAAAATTATTTAAAAAAAATAAATAAAGGTATTGTGTCCATCTACATCTAAATATATTTTTTTAAAAAATTCTATATGTAGACAACAAAAGTAATTCTAAAGCTATTTTTAATTGTCTATCTACTTCTTGTAAAAATTTCCTCAACCGAGTTGAGAACATCCAATGAGAAAAAGGTTAACATGATCAGATATGACTTATAAAATCCTTAAGTCCCAGTTCTACTCTTTCCTCAGTCATACTTTCCTTATTATCTGAGGTATAAACTTTCCTTATTATCTGAGGTTTAATCTCCTTTTATTTCTTCCTCCTTCATATGCTCCTAGACCATAGGGACAAAGGGAATTCCCCTTATTTTGCATCTTAATGCTAAGAACTTTGATCCTTGGATCTGAGTTTAATATTCACAATGTTTAATGGAACAGACATATAATGAAATTAATTCATTATCATACTTCATTATACATATAAGACATAATAAAAAGCACACTGAAAATTCCTCCTTCAGCTAAAGATTGTGGTCAGTAATCAATGTTTTTCAATTCTATTTTGTAGGTAACAGTGAACACAATATATTATGTAATGAAGCAAAAAAAAATAACTTCCATAAACCTGAGAAGAAGCCTGCTTACCATCCTGCAGAGGAGAGAATTCTGAGTTGCTTTTCTGCCTGGGTGGTGTTAACAACACAGCTGGCTCAAAAATACGTGCTGGAAAACTGGTGGTCAGATTCACGCTATCAGGGGGGGTTGGCACCTGAGACAGTTTAACAGGCAACTCTTCCTGTGGAAAATCAACCACTTCTTTCCCTCTGAACATCAATGGCACAGAGACATTAGCACTTACAACAGGACCCTCTAAAGAAGACAAGAAGATATTAATATGTAAGGAAAGTATGAGCACACCTCAGGTGTTAATTCTTACATACATATAAATAGAATACAAAATCCATTCAGCCCCTAGAGCCTTCACTTCCTAGGCTATATTCTCCTTTGCCAGTAATTCATAGGCAGCTTCCTGTGGAGCCGGCACTGGGAAGAAGTTGCTATTTTTGAGAAAAGTACGAAGCGCCACAAAGTCATAAAAAGAAAGTCACTTTTTAGGAACTCATAAAAAAAAAATCTTACTTGGCATTTTAGAGTTTTTCATGATTTGTTTTTATTGTTTTTTAATGGTCCTAGAAGTAACAAAACGACAAGAATGGGACTGTCCATATACAAGGCTCACTACCAAACAAGGTAATTTCACAAGTCATGTACTATCACCTTCCATATTATTTTAAAAGTGTTATAAGAGCTGAGACTCAGATGCTAATAACCTTGTTTCACATATATAAATCTTACTTTTTCCACAGATAATAAAAAGAATTAACAATAATCATAATAAACTCACACCCCACCTTTCTCATCTCTGAATAACTAAAAGTTTTCTCACTAGTGAAATGACTCAGATAATAGCAAAGCACATATCTTTGACTGAGATATTAATAGAAATCCCCCACAAAAATAGATACTTCATGCAACTCAAATTTTAGGCTGCCACTACTTAGAATCCATCCTAAGAAAATACTTCTAAATACATAAAACACTCTACACATGGACACTCATCAAAGTATTGCTTACAAATGAAAAGTGAAAAAGCCTAAATGTCTTATTCAGCCTATTAACACATGAAGGCACACAGGTGAAGAGAGGATTTTGAAACATCACCACATCTGAACAAAAGTTATGAATTTCTAAAACTCAGGGGTGTTTTGTTTTCAATACCATCTCTTCTGAATCTGGGACACCATGATTAAACTTAACACTAACATCTCACCTGGCCTAGGTATTCAGTTCTCCCATGTACTACCTGCATGACTGCTAAGTTACTGACCCTCTCTAAGCCTCAGTTTCCTCATTTAAAAATGGGATAACAAAACAGGTGCCTCATATGGCTATTATGAGGATTAAATGAGATAATACATGCAAGACTCAGAAAGTACCTGGAAAATAGAAAGTATTCAATAAATATCAGCTAGTAAAGCAGTGGCAATTGCAATAGTGATAATTCAGTATATGCCACAAGTAGTAATAACTCCATATAAGTTTAGAGGTTCAGGATTTGATTTGTTTGCTTGTTATTCTACAGGCATTTAGCAGTTCACTGACAATCTGGAATAAAAAGACTATACCTACTTGGATTGTCTATAATTCTACCTGTGGCTTCCCTTTCTGTTGCTTGACTTTCTTGTCTGGAGTTATTTATTACAGGACAATTTTTAATGGCATGTGTGAGTGATATAAGTTGCTCATCTGTTGTGACCATATATTGCTGAAGTCTCGCCTGGAGAAGGGAAGAAATGAAATAAAATCATATAAAGGATATGAATGTTTGCATAATATCATTATTTTATTTTAAATACTCCAAGAATTCCAGACTTTCATTAAAACTCTAAAGAAATGCTATTCATAATTATAAATATTCTAAAAGTCCCATGAAAGATAAACTGTTAAATAAATCATGGCCAATTAATACCCTGCTATAAAAATAAGAATTAACCTTTTTTATAAGGCTTTCAATTTACAAAACCTCTTCATATAATATTATTTCAACTGACTCTCAAGCTACCCCAAGAGACTGATACATTAGGTAGAGGAAACAATAAAATATTCCTCAAGCATTTAAACTAGCAAACATAAACACTATAAAGATTTATGGTCTGCAACCTGTATACTCAGAAAAATGAGATATTATATCCCTTCTATTCAAATGTATGATATGTTAAAGTCATTGTACTGTCATGTGTAACTAATTAAAACAAATACAAAAATAAAAAATAATAAAAAAATAAAGTATTTGAAACAAGGTTGTTGAAGAGACCACCCAAGGAAATTTTCACCTACCTTGCTCTGATTCAGGTTACTTCATGCAATCCAAATGCAAAACACTGTCTTGAAATATAACTCAGTTGCACTAAAATAACTGTGATAGTAGATGAATTTTGTTTTGCTTTCTTAATTACTTATTTCAACTTAGTCCAAAGGAAACTACCCTGATTGGAAACCTATCTATAAATATCTATTAAATATGTTTCATTTAATGTGAAATGTGAAAAAAAAATTTATGGTAATGTATATGAAATAATGGTGAAGGAACAAGAAAGCATAAAATTCCGTGTTCAATGATTATAACTTTACACTTTACATGTGTCTAAATTATTTTTATATATGTACACACATATGTATTCTCATATTTGTCTATGTATACATAATTCATAAATTTTTAGAAAATTATATAAGGCTTTCTTTTACTTAAAAGATCATTCACAAAATACCTCACCACTGATTTACTTTATATCAAACAGCTGGATGTATTTGGATTTCCATTCTTACATTTAAAAGTCAACTAGATTGCCCAAAAGTTTAGATGAACTTGTTGTTCTTATCTTTTCCACACTTAAGATCAAGAGTCAATCAAAAGCACTAGGTTTAATTACAACCACATAATGCAGGTCTTTCTTAAGCTAAGTACTTAGCAAATACTTCATAGCAGAAGACAGCAGGTAGAAGGAAAGAAAGGGAAGTTGTATAAATTGCTCAGACCTTGAAAAGATTAAGTAAGAGAAACCAAGGATGATATGTAGTGATAAACTATCTAAGTATATAAATGTATCACATAGGCTTACAGATATACATTGTTGATCCAGACATATTAGAAATATTATGATACAGTAGAATGATATAACTGGGGAAAGCATGCTAAACATTTTTATATCACCAGCTGATATTTCTTCCCAAATTTCACACTCATATATGCAGTGGCTTAGATATCTCCACCTAAGACTCAAATAGACTTCTCAAACCTAAGATACAAAACCAAACTCTTCCTGAAGCCTTCATTACCTTGTAAGTAGAAACTGTTAATTGTTTTGTCCCAAACTCTGGAATCACCCTTGACTCTTTCACATCCTCTTCTTCACCCCATATCTATAATGGGTTTGGCTGGTTTTCAAAAATATATTCAGAATTTGATCAATTTCACACCCTCTGCCACTTCTACTGTAGACCAAACTGCCATGTTTCAACTGAATTATTCCAATAACTCCTATATGTAATGTCCTGCTTCAGGGTTTGACTACCTAGTCTATTCCTGTTCCCAAATTGTATATAGAGATACTGAGAGCACAAGAATGAACTCACAGGTCCCCAGAAGACATTTTAAATTTTCAAGAGAAATAGTGAAGTCCAACATTTATCAGACATTGGTGAACTATTAGCTTCAGGCAGTTCATAATGTCAACATAAGATTAGATTACATTACTTTTAATAATGTCAAATCTTCTTATGGCTGGTTTTCCAGCAATTGCTATGCTAAAAAAAAAGTTCTAAGTAGAAATACAGGAAATAAGAGCAATGGTGTTCAACACATTCTAAGTTTTGAAAAGTTGTGCAGTGCTCAAAAGGTACACATATACCACTGGTAAATAATTGTAGTTATTTAAGAATTAAATAAATACACACTTTGTATTTCAATTTATGCATATTATTGTTTATAATAGCTCCTAAGTTGTTAGACATGAGTTGTTTGGACCTAACTTCTTAATAAATGGAACTGTTAGATATTTCTTTTGGCCAAGGTGTGCCATGAGTCACTAAGGGTACCATCACTCAAGGCAGCATTTCTAATCTAGTCTCAAGACTGTAAACCAGATCCTCTCAAAAGCCAGTTTCCCATCTCATTTTTCCCAAATCCTTAAATAGTATGCAATGCCTATGTGACCGGGCTTCTCTGATCTCGTCTCCAATGCTCTCCCTTTCCCATGCTCCATTCCCACCACACTGGTATCCTTGATGACTCTAAGTTCACAGACACAATGCCAGCTTTGCCTTGCTTTTCCTCTACCTTTTCCTCTGTTCTTCTCTCAGCTATGTGCATGCTCGTTCCCTTACCTCTTCTAGGCCTCTGCTCATATGTCACCTCTACAGAAGGCATGGCCCATCCCATTTATAACTATATTCCACACCCATTAGGCATTTCCTATGCCTTTTTTTTTTGAGAGAGAGAGAGAGAGAATTTTTTATTATTCATTTTTTAGTTTTTTCGGCAGACACATCTTTGTTTGTTGTGGTGCTGAGGATTGAACCCAGGCCGCACGCGTGCCAGGCGAGCGTGCTACCGCTTGAGCCACATCCCCAGCCCCTCCTATGCCTTTTACTTACTTTATTTTTCTTAAAGTACATATCAACACCTAATTTACTACATATATAACTTCATTATTTTTGAATACTTATTTAGAATGTAAGCTCCACCAGGACAAGGATTTCTATATTTTGTTCACAGTTGTATTTACTACATCTAAAATAATGCCAGGTCCTTAGTAGACACACAATAAAGATTTGTTAAATGAATCAGTATAATTTAACACATCACATCTTCCCAGGAGAACTGAAAATATATTCATGCAAAATCATGTTCATAAATGTTCATAGCAGCAATGTAATAGACAAAAAAATGGAAATAATCCAAATGTTTATTCATCGACTGATGAATGGACCAATAAAAGGCATATCCATAACATGGAATATTATTGAGTGATATAAACAAATGAAATATTGATATATTTTACAACATGGATGAATCTTAAGAAATACACTGAATGAAAGAAGCCAGACACAGAAGACCACAGATCCCACTGCTACAAAATATCTGGATTAAATCCATAGAGTCAGAAAGTAGACTAGTGACTGCCAGGGGTTAGAGAAAGACGCGAATCTAGCATGACTCTTCATGGGCATATGGTTCCTCTTCAGGAAGATGAAAATATTCTGGATTGAAAATATTCTGGTACACAAGTCTTTAAAAGGGTGGACTTAATGATATGCAGACTACATTATCAATTTTTTTTAATTACACATTTTACATCTAGTGTTCATTGACACAAACAGAATTTGTCTATTCTTTTCTAATCTCTTGTAGCTGATAAATAATAAATACCCATAAGAACAAAAAGATGACCAAGATAGCCTCTACATTCATGTAGCACAAAGTGATAATATAAAAATACACATAACCATAACATAATGTAAATGCAATGATAGCAATATCCAGAGAGCATCAAAAATATATAAAGGAAGTACTTAATGCAGTAACCAAGCAATAGGCTTTCTAGAAGAGATACTGTATGCCTTAAAAAAAAAAAAAAAGGCATTGGCATTTAGTCAAGTGGCAAATCAAATATGAAGACACTTGTTAACTGTAAATAGCACCTGAAGCAATTTGCAGGAAAGTTCTGCAACAGCTATCCTCTGCTGTTTTGAAATTAAAAGTGGCACCCATAACACTCACACTTAAGCTATCAAAACATTGCACATTTTGGTTAACCACTATAATACCGGCAGTTATCATTTCAATATATATTCTGTCTTTTACCCTAAATAGTATGTGTATTAAACGCAGCAGACTTATTTTATATTCTTATTCTATATACAATTTGTAGTCTAAACTTCTACTATAGTACCTCCAATATAATAAATGTTCAATAACACCAACCATCGATGATGGTAATATGTCAAAAAAAATCACATCAGCACAGCTAAAACAAAATCAACTCCCCTAAGAGAATCCTGCACATATGCAAAGATATTTCATACTACAAAACATGGAAAAGTCTGGGATAGCATTTGAGTACCTGTGTGGCAGTATTTTCTTCTCTCAGAAGAAGAATTTCAGCTGTTAGAGCATCAATGAGCTCTCGATGATCACCTAATACATGTTCCAGTTGCTTCCTTGTCTCTACTTCTTTACGTAGTTGAAGCTCACTCTACCAAAAAAAAAAAAAATCAAAACTAGCATCATATATTGAAAACTAAAAGTTTCTACTCAAAGTGTCAAAGAAGACAATTACAAATATTTACGTTATAAGATAGTAACAAAAATTTAAAAATTGTATTACAAAGTTTATTATATTTAATTGAATAAAACAAGCTGCTTTATCCTCGTCTTTTTAAGATAGAATATAGTAAACAAAATGGTATGTAACATTAAATAATTATATTTTCATGAAAGAAACTGAAGGGATATACATATATATTGTTTGAATATACATAGACTATCTCTAGAAAGGCACACTGGTATCTAGTAATGATAGCGGGACACAAGAAAGCAAATAGGTTAGCTGGAAGTTAGAGATAAGAACTAGAGTGTTCATTTTATATCTTCTGTATCTTTGAATTTCACACCTTATGACAAGTCATCAATTCAAAAATTAAGTTTGCTAAACTATAATTAAAAACAAATAACATTAAACTCTCTTAAATACATCCATTAAATGGTTTATCTTTGTAAAGTAAGTGATTAGCTAAAAAGGACATTCTTCTAAGCCTGCAATACTTTCCAAGCACCAGAAGTACATTCCTGAAGACTCCTGACTTAAGGGTAGAAGAATGTTAACACTTTATTTAAAGTCTGAGACTACCACAAATTTTTCATTAAAAGGCAATCTTAGCAAAACAGCTCCAGAGCAACTGAAACACCTCAATTAAGAGTAATAAATTTTATTTTTTAAATAAAATTTCCTTAAACATTTTGTCATATTTGTTTAATAGATTTATGAATGTTAAGTTTAAATAGATTTTATAAAAGATGAAATGCATAGCCAATTCTAATTCTATGGCATTCTGAATACTGATGAGTATTTATAAACAAAAAATTCTTGCTTGTTTTATAAATTATTTTCACAATAAAACATCTGCCACTTAAAAAATCAAGCCATACTGAGTTACCAATCATACAAAAAACATGAGAAATTTTCCCACCTATCTAATCTACATACAGAACTCCAAACTGAACTAACGTGGGTATAGCAAGCAGAGAAAGGCAAGAGAATGAAGACCCAGTTAATAGTGCTATTTAATCTATAGCTGCCAAACAGAATCTATGCTGTTTGGCAGCTATAGACTATTAATAATCTCAATATCAGCACAAGATATAATTTTATTTACATCAGATTTCCCTTACTAATTAAAATTTGTTAAAGCTCATATTTGCATCAAATAGACTATTTTAGGAAGTATCAACTAAATAGTAGGGGTAGATTAAAACCAAATTACTGCAGATAGTCTAAAACTGAATTTTCAAATAAAAGTTATTTGAATTTGACTGAATTTTATTTGAAGGTTACAATAAACTAAGAAAAAAAAATTCACATATATTTCTGCTTGAAGAGAAGCCATGTCATGCACTTACCTCTCTCAGGTACCGAATCAGGCGACAGAGAGAGCTCACCAGAGACAAAGTGAAGCCTGTGAGACCCTGACCCCTCTGCAGTCCCTTGACCTCACGTCCTGTCCACCGCTCATATTCTTCCATTTCATGTTCCACTTCATGTATCATATGTTTGAGGACATCCAAGCTGGAATTATTGCTGTTTGATAAGTCTGCAGAGGTAGTGCTAGCTGATAACATGTTTTTCTTCTGCTTGGAAGGAGCATGCAAATCTGGTTTTCTTTTCACTGAGAATGACAGAAATAACTGTATTTCAAGACAAGGAAAAATTACAATCACAAAATTACGAGAAAAATATTTTAATTATTCACAATATATAAAAAGTTTTTACATAAGTTATTACCATTTTTATTATAAAAATCAATTCAATTTAAACAAGGTTTATACTATAATGAATATACTAGAATCATCCATCCAGAATTTTATGGATTAGGAAGGATTTCTTAGCTAAGCTCCAACAAACTCTTACTTAATTAGATCCCAATAGATGAGCTTAAGGGGGCAAAAATTTAGTAAGAGATTAAATAGCTACATCAGGTTACATGTTTAGAAGTCATTTTTGCAAAATAAAAAGAGACTTAACCTTTATTTAGCAGTTGTTTTTGCTTCCTTGAGTTGAGCACCTGTCCTACAACATAGCTTGAGTCTAGAGTCTCAGTAGATTCTTCAGGCTGAAGCCTGGTTTGGAGTTTCTTGACAGCATCAGTAGTATTCAGAGCAGCTAAAAGGAAGAACAATGAAAAAAGGTTATCTCAAGAGAACAAACTTTTTCTGAAAAGTCTTTTAAATGACAGATCCATTAGTATTTTAAATAATTAGGTTACATAAGGAAGTCAAAAGTTAAACAACATTCCTTTGAAAATTATTGTTTGCTGTGTGTTGTGGTGCATGCCTGTAATTCCGGCTACTCAGGAGGCTGAGGAGGGAGGATCACAAGTTTGAAGCCAGCCTCAGTAACTTAGCAAGGCCCTAAATAACTTAGTGAGAGACTGTCTAAAAATAAAATGAAAAATAATAAGGTCTGGGAATATAGCTCAGTGGTAAAGTGCTTCTGAGTTCAATCCCTAATACCTAAATAAATAAATAAATAAATTACTGTATTTAAGAAAAAAACTAATCAAGTAGGCTACTAGGAATAATGCAAAGACGGAACAAACCTCTTTGTTCCCCTGATGAAACAGCAGATGGAGTTCTTGGAGGGGTTGTTATTTTTGACTGTGTTGCTATTTTCTGCTGAATATTAGTCCACAGTTTACTAATTAACTCAGAATTCTCTTCAGTTAGTTGGTGGAGAAACCTATAAATTTCAAGACAATACGTACAGTAGTGTTAAAAAGTACTATCATTAAAACTGTTCAAATGTTTACATATTTGATTTGAAAGATTTTTAGAAATCACAAAGAAAAACCAACTTTCTCTTTAACTGATAAAATAGGTAGGTAGCTAAAATATCTATCCTCTTTGTGTTAGAGGGAATCATCCCATCTGCTTCTCAGTTTCCTATCTACCTTGGATCCCTAATATAGAAGCATTTGCCTCTTCTGCAGTTTTGTGGTATGGCTCCATCTTCCCCTTTCTCTAAAGTAATTAAGTATATACAGCTCAGCTCCTTTTGGTTTTTCTCTCCTACAAAAGAATCTGCCCACTGAGCAGACAGCCACTGCTCGTACTGAAGTAAATTCATTGGAGCAGAACAGGACCCTATGTATCAGGCAGGGAACAAAAGAAGTAAAAAGAAAAGCTGTAGTTTAGGGCTTAGTATTTGCAAGCTCTTTCATTACAGATCTAAGCTTTACGCTATAAACATCTTTATACTGATTAAGTTGATATTTTAATATTTGACTAGTCTGATTCATGTATCTATTTTCTTACTTGGATTGATATTTAAAAGAGGTAGGGGGCCAAAAAGTAGAAACAACTCAATGTCCACCAGCTAATGAATGGATGAGTAAAATATGGTGTAGCCATACAATAAAATATTATTCAGCCTTTAAAAGGAATGAAGTATTGACATATGCTACAACATGGATGAACCTTGAAAATAAGGTGCTAAGTGAAAGACACCAGACAAAACAGAGCATAATGCATTATATATATACACACACATATAATATTAAATACATAAATATGAGATATATAATACATAAATATTTGTAAATATATATATAAAAAACATATACACAGACAAATTCTATAGATAAAAAGTAGATTAGTGGCTATCTAGGCCCAAAATGTTTGGGAGGATATGGGGTTTGACAACTAAAGAGCATGGGATTTCTTTTTGAGGCAATAAAACTTTCCTAAAACAGTTAGTGATTGTATAGCTATGAATATGCTAAAAGGATTGAATATTACATTTTTAATGAGCATGCTATACATCTATGAATTATGAATCAATAAAGCTGTTGAAAGAAAGATGGAAGGGAGGGAGGAAAAGGGAATCTTATTTAGTGGCTCTAAAACCTTAGCCTAGGGGAGTCAAGCAACATATGGGTGGCACATTAGTACACTATTTGCTAAAAGCTATATTTAGCAAAATGTCCATGATACAGTTCATTCAAAGGGAACTAATTAACAAAGCAGCAGAAAGAGCCCTTTATAAATCCAACCTTCCGGATAAATCTCAAGAAGTACTATAATGAGATTTCTACACAATTTGGGCAAATAAACTCCAACCCGTCTGACACCTATAATATTATCTCTAATGTTTATGATATTTTTAAGAGTCAGTTATGTGAAATAATCATAACAACAAAAATACAATATCATCTACAGGTGGCTAATAAATGGGCTACCAATGTAGGTTCTCTATTCACATTCTTGATTGTTTCTTTTGTTGCGAAGAAGCTTTTTAGTTTGATGCCATCCCATTTTATTGATTTTTAATTTCTTGTGCTTTAGAAGTCTTGTTCAAGAAGTCAGTTCCTGTGTCAATATGTTGGGGCTACCTTTTCTTCTAGTATGTTTAGGGTTTCTGGTCTAATTTCTAGATCTTTGATCCACTTAGAGCTGATTTTTGTGCTGGTAAGAGACAGGGGTTAACTTTCTTCCTATTACATATGGATTTCCAATTTTCTTACCACCATATGTTAAAGAGGCTATCTTTTCTCCAGTGTATGTTTTTGGTGCCTTTGTCTAGTATGAGATAACTGTGTTTAGGTGGGTTTGTCTCTGTACCTTCTGTTCTGTTCCATTGGTCTTCTTGCCTATTTTGGTGCCAATACCATGCTGTTTTTGTTACTGTAGTATAATTTAATATCTGGAATTGTGATGCATTCTGTTTTGTATTTCTCACTAAAGAGTGTTTTAACTATTCTGGGCCTCTTATTTCTCCAAATGAATTTCATGACTGCTTTTTATACTTCTATGAAGAACATTATTAGAATTTTGATGGGAATCACATTGAATATGTATAGAACTTTTGGTGGTATGGCGATTTTGACAATATTGATTCTGCCTATGCAAGAACATGGGAGATCTTTCCATCTTCTGAAGTCTTCCTCAGTTCCTTTCTTTAGTGTTCTGTAGTTTTCATTAGAGAGATCCTTCACTTCTTTTGTTAGATTGATTCTTAAGTATTTTACTTTTATGTGTGTAGCTATTGTGAATGGGATAGTTTTCCTGATTTCTCTTTCAACTGATTCATTGTTGAAATGATAGAATGCGTGAAGACAGAATGTACAGAATGAGAGAAAATTTTTGCCAACTGCATCTCAGATAGGGTGTTAATTTCCAGGATATACAAAGAACTCAAAAAGCTTAACACCAAAAAAAACCAAAAAACCAATCAATAGATGGGCAAAGGAACTGAACAGACCCTTCTCAAAAGAAATACAAATGATGAACAAATATATGAAAAAATGTTCATCATCTCTAGCAATTTGAGAAATACAAATTGAAACTACACTGAGATTTTATCTCACTCCAGTCAGAATGGCAATTATCAAGAATACAAATAATAATAAATGTTTGTGAGAATGTAGGGAACAGTGAACACTCATGCATTGCTGGTGGGACTGCAAACTGATACAACCCCTCTGGAAGGCAGTATGGAGAATCCTCAGAAAACTAGGAATGGGACCACTCTTTGACCCAGTTATCCCACTCTTCAGCATATATCCAGAGGATTTAAAATCAGCATACTACAGTGATATAACCACATCAATGTTTATAGCAGCACAATTCACAATACCTAAGCTACATAACCAACCTAGATGCCCATCAACAGATGAATGGATAAAGAAATTGTGACATACATACATACATGTGTGGGGGGGGGAGGGGGTGTAATGGAATATTATTCAGCTATAAATAAAAATGACTTTATGATATTTGCCAGTAAATGAATGGATCTGGAGACTATCATGCTAAGTGAAATAAGCCAATTCCAAAAAACCAAAGGTCAAATGTTTTTGCTGATATGTGGAAGCTAAACCACAATGAAGGCAGGGTGGAGAAGAGAAGTTCAGTAGATTAGAAGAAGGAGAACAAAAGGAAGGGAGGATAGAAATAGTAAAGACAGTAGAATAAATCTAACATAATTTTCCTATGTCCAAATATGAAAATACCTAAGTGAATCCCACCATCGTGCCCACCCACAAGAGTGGAGTCCTAATTAGAATAATTCCATGTTTGTATAATTTTATCAAAGATAAAAAAGGTTAAATAAGAAAACAGGACTAAAGACTCTGTAAAAAGTATATATAAAAAAAGTAGTTAACAAAACAAAATTATATATTTCCTAAACACTGAAAGAAATGCTTTAAAAATATTCATAGAAAAGGAAAACTGTATTACAATACAACATACTAAAAAATAATAAGACAAAATTAACATTAAAGGGCTGGGGTTGTAGCTCTGTGGTAGAGCGCTTGCCTACATGCATGAGGTACTGGGTTCAATCCTCAGTACCACATAAAAACATATAAATAAAATAAAGATATTGTGTTCATCTACAACTAAAATAAAATGTTAAAAAATTAACATTAAACATACCAACCATATCAAAAAATGTACAAGCTTACTTCACCAATTAAAAGAAGAATATTTTCAAATTGTCTAAGAAAATCACACTCAACTCTGCACCGAATACGAAACATACCTGATACAAAACAATTCTAAAAAGATGTAAAAGAATATAAAATAAGAAAGACTAAATATAAAAAGTAAAGATAGAAGTTGGCAGGTGGTGTGCACCTATAGTCCCAGGTATTTGGGAAGGTAAGGCAAGAGGATCCCTTGAACCCATGAGTTTGAGACCACACTGAACAACAGAGAGAGACTCCCAACACAAACACACACACACACACACACACACAAAAAAAAAACCTGAAACAAAAAAAGAGGTTTTACTCTTAATACGAGATAAAACAGAACTGAACCAAAAGGCATTAAATGTTACAAAGGATACTTTACAATTCTAAAAAGTCATTAACCAAAGATATAATAACATTTATGACTATCCAGGTACCAAAAAACACATCATCTTTATAAAAAAAGATTTAAGCAATTAAATATACTTAAGCAAAAAATCAAAGAGAAACAAAAACACATTAACAGGAGACTTTTAATACATTACTCTCAGTATAAGATAGTGGCAAAAATAAGGAAGGAAGAAACAGCATAACCCCTGAGGCAGATCTTATGGAAATACTATAGAACTTTATACCTTTTTAATAGAGTTATAACCTCTTCTCAAGCAAACACATGGAACATTCACAAAAATGTGATCATATATTAGGTCACAAAGAAAACATCATTAAGTTCCACAAGAAGAAATACTGCAAATCACATTGTGAATGCAAAGTAATAAAACTAGAAACAATAAGGTGGCTCTGGAAATTTTCTTTAAATTTTCTAATAGACAACTTTTAGATAAAAAGGAAAATATAAATTGAAACTACTTCATTTCTAAAGTAACAAAACACTACTACACCAGAATGTATGGAATACATTTGAAGTAATTAGAGGAAAATTCAGAGCCTTAACTAATTTATTTTTGATATTAAAATAATGAAAATAACTTTCCAACTCAAAAAGCCAGAAAAACAAAGTAAACCAAAAGAAAGAATAAGAAAGGAATAAAAGCAAAAATTGATGAAGAAGAAATCAGGAAACTAGCAGCTCTAATAAATAAAGAAAATCCTGGTTCTATGAAAAATTAACAAAATGGACAAATCATTAATTAGCCTAATTTTAAGGAAAGAGGAAGAGTAAAATATATGATGGGTAACAGTGCTCATTTACCAAGTGCTCATATATCCAAGTAAGAAATTTTTCAGAAGTACAGAGCTATTGGCATACTTTTACAGAAATCTAGTGATTAACCTAAATAAAATAGAAAAATTTCCTAAGAAAATATATTCTAAATATATATATATATATATATATATATATATATATATATATATATATTTTCAACCTTCATTAACAAAAAAAAGTACCAGGCACAAACAGCTTTACAGAAGAAAGCTATTAGCTTTCAAAGAATAGACAACCCCAAAGCTACACAAAATTACACCCTTCATAAACACAAAAGAAATTTAAAACTTCTAGAATGTTTGTTATGAAAAATGAGAAAAACTTCCAGATGTTTCTTATGAAATCAAGTATCACATTGTTACCTCAACCTGACTCCAGACACAATAATATTACAGATAAATCACTTACGAAATTTAATGCAATACTAAATATAATAGTAATAAAAAACATCCAACACTATATTAATGAAAAGTATATACCTTGGCCAAGTAAAATTTATTTCAGGAATGCAAAGATAGCTTAATATTAGAAAATCTATAAAATAATGTACCATATTAATAGGTCTAAAGAAATTTCATATTATCTCTATAGACAATAAAAAAGTTCTTGACAAAATTCAACAATCACTACTGGTAAAAACACTTAATAAAACTTCATAGTGGGCTGGGGATATAGCTCAGTTGGTAGAGTGCTTGCCTCTCATGCATAAGGCCCTGGGTTCAATCCCCAGCACCACAAAAACAAAAAACAAACAAACAACATCAACACACACACACACACACCAAAAAAAAAAAAAACTATAACTTTGGGACTGTGGCTCAGCGGTAAAGTGCTTGTCTAGCATGTGTGAGGCCTTGGGTTCGATCCTCAGCACCACATAAAAATAAATAAATAAAATAAAGGTATTGTGTCCAACTACTTCTAAAAAAAAATGTTAAAAAAAAACTTGATAGACATTTGCTAGCATTTTTTTAAAGGCTTCAATAAAGAAGCTAGCACCTTAAGAAGAAAAAACAAACATTTTCATAAGATCAGTAACAGAGCAAGGATGCCACTATATCCACAATTATTTAATACTCTCCTATAAATAATACACAAAAGAAACTATTTAGAATAATAATCTAAGAAAAAAAGTAAAAATGCTATTGATTTGCAGATAACAAGATAGTAAACCTAGAAATCCTAGAAAAATCAATGCTAAAACTAACTCTCAAGATTCAATAAAGTAACAGAATATCGAGATAAAATAGATACAAAAGCCTTCACAAGCACAAATGATAACTAACTAGAACATATAATAAAGCCATTTAAAAAATAACAAAAAAGTCATGAAATATTTAATAAACAAGAAAATGTAAAATCTATAGGAAAAAAAGATTAAAACACCTTTTAGAAAAGTATACTTGAAATAAATGGAAAAATAAATTTATTCTTAGTAAAATTCAACATCAAAAAGACATCAATTCTCACTAATTAATGATATAGCATGTCCTAACAGAAAATATCAAAAAGCTTTTATACAAAGTTAAGCAAGCTAATACTAAAGTTCAAATGGAAAATACGTAAGAATCCCCAAGAAAACTCTGGGAAAAAAAAAAAAAAAGCTATGAGTGAGTCTATTAAAACATTACAATTTGTCTCTAAGTAAAACAGTGTGGTACTGAAGCATGACTGGAGAAACAAGGCCTGCAAATTAGAGTACAAAATCCTGAAATGGATCCAAGTACCTATGGTAATTTAATATGTGATGTTGAGAGCCACAGCCCAGTCGGAATGGCCCCTGGCATTTTGCCAGAAGTAATGGTTGAGAGGTGAGCCATTAAGATGATGCTGGATTGATTCAATTGTATATTAGACCTTTACTGTCTGGTAATAGGATGATGGCTCTTGCTGCAATGGGCGCCTGCTACTTTGGAGTTCGGGAGGTTCCAAGAGTGAGTGCACACACAGGGGAGGGAGGGGGAGGTTCTGGTTGGTGTGTGGTGTGTTCCTGGAGGAGCTGCTTGGGTGGCGTTCAGGAGAGTTCCCGGGGTGTGTGCTGGTGGAGTTTGGAAATAAAGTTTATTCCTGCTTGAGTGGCTCGTGATTTGTGCCCAGCCAGACTGCAGCAATGTGACAAAGGTAGCATTTCAAATAAGTAGGGCAAGAATGATTTGTCTTTTTAATAAATAGTATTGGGATAACTGGATAGTCATCTAACAAAAGAAAAATTGGACACAGACCTCATATTATATACCCCCCCAAAATGTTAAGTAATCTTAGCTAGGTGATCAGAGAACTAAATGTTAAAAAATAAACCACACAAGTATTAAAAGAAAACATGATTGAATTCCTCAATAATATGGGTTTTGGGAAATTATTTCAGAGTATGATTCAGGATCCACATGCAAAAAAAAAAAAAAGTTAAGTTCAAACTATATTTTGCTGGCAAGAAAAAAAATGCCACCACAAATGTAAAAGATAAACTAGGAAAAATATTTACAGCACATTAGATTACACAAATAAAAGACTAATATTTTAATGTGCAAAGATATTTGCAAATTAAGGAAGAAAAGATCAAATCCTAGAAAAATAGACAAATGACACAAATAGAGAATTCACTATAAGGTCCCTTAAACATATGAAAAGTATTTCAATTTACCTCATAAAAGAAATGAAAAGTAAACCTATACTAAGATATCACTGCCACCTATGAGATTATTGCAAAATTTTTTTTAAAATCCTGACAATACACTCTGTTGATCAGACACATACATATAGTCCGTAAGAATGCAAAATATTAAAATATTATGGCCTTCACAAAATGCTTAGCATTTACCTGTTAAGCCCTAAATCCTATGTCTAACAACTTTCCCTAAATATGGACTCCCCCATAATAAAAAAAATACATATCTTCAAGGTTATTCACTGCAGTATTTCTGGAATTATAAAACTGCAAAAAATCTAAATGGCCAGAGTGGTCAAACCATAATACATTCACACAGTTCATAAGTATGCACCTGTTTCATTTGCAATAAAAAAGTGGGGGGAAAAAAGAGAGCCTATAAATTTTTAAATAGCTGTGAGGTGATTTCCAGGATAAAGGCAAATATAGTAAGCTACATAAGTATAGTAAAAAAAGATATGTGCATCTGCTTATATTTATAAAAAGAAACTCAGGAAGAATAAAACCAAAACTAATTAAACTAGTTATGTGCAGAGTAAGGACAGATGGCAAATCATTAGAAGGGATAGGGCATGGATAACACTACCCTGAAAACAGCTTTTTGTATGGTTTTGTGAAAAACTTAAAAATGAATATAAATAGAAAAATGTACCTAATTATATTTCAAATGAATAGAATAACCTTTAAAAAAAATCCTCTAACAACCTTGAACTCTGCTTAGTAGGTTTATTTCTGTGGTAGTATGGGAGCAACAATTCCAAAACTACTTTCTATGCATTGTAGGCTTGAATAGAAGAAAATATACTATGCATAGAAACATGCATCTCAGTGTGAAAGAAGAGAGATACAAATATAGAATTGATTAGAAAGACTAATCAAAATCCAATAGTGTTAAACTGGCCTTGAAAGTATCAGTATAAGCTCATAATTTATAACTAAAAAAATATTAATATGGATATGTGCATATGCATATGACCATAGGTGCATATGTGTATCTGTGTTTGTACCTGCTGAAAGGTACTAAAAACCAGGATGGTCAGGTGCAATAAGCACACCTAATACTTAGATCTTGATTTCTAAACACCCTTCTTCAATAAAACAAATAAGGACTTCTCAAAGAAATGGCTGATTCCAGGCCAAGGGCATGACTGCTGTACCAGAAATTAAATTGGGGACAGGGGGATAATTTGTAAAAAGTACACAGGAATGACTTGAAGATGCTCCCATTGGCCAAATCTGTGACAAATGAACATAAAAATAGAAGACATAATTAACTAATAAAGGAACCAGGCAGGCATCACTAACCAAGTGATGAAAATTAACAGCATCAATACTTATCCTTCTTTCTCAATCAGGACATCACTGTGTAATTATATGATACACTGAAAAGGACTTAGCATCACTTCAGAGATATTCCTGCCCCAAATGTAGAACCTGAGTCTAATAACAAAGAAATATCAGAGAACACCAAATCAGAGGAAATTCTATAAAGTAACTGCTCGTGTACTTCTTGGAAATCACAAAGATATTATGACAGACAAACACTATAGTCAGATTTTAAAAGGTTCCAGATCTTTAAAGTCAAAGAAATGTGAAAAATAAATACAATAAACTATCATGATTGGTTCTCCAAACAATAAAAAAGGACCATAATTAATATGAATGGGGCAATTAGAGAACTCTAATTGATAGTAGTATGGTATTAACTTAATTTCCTGATTGTGATAAGTGTATTGTGGTTCTGTGAATGAATATTCTTGCTCTTAGAAAGTCCACACTGAAGTATTTGGAGATAAAGGAACATGTATTATGTAGCTTACTCCCAAGTGGTTCTCAAAAAATGTGTATGTAGGGGCTGGTGCTATAGCTCAGTGGCAAAGCACCTGCCTAGCACGGGTGAGTCATTGGGTTGGATCCTTACCACCACATAAAAATAAACAAATAAATAAAAGCATGTTGTGTATCGACAACTACAAAAAAAATGTTTTAAAAAATGTGTATGTGTACATATGCATGTGTGTGTATGTGTATAAATTCACAAAAAAGAGAAAAATGATAAAACAAAAATGGGAAATGTTAATAACTGGTAAATCTGGGTGAAAAGTACAGAGGAGGTATTTCTACTATTTTTAAAACTTTTCAGAAATTATATCAAAATACAAAAACTTTTAATAAAAATATACCCTTTGTTAATAAAAAAAAGATGCAATAAACATTTGAAATAGGCTTGAAAAAAAGGTAAAAGCTGTAGCTATTTATGCCATATTTACATACCTGTCTGTGTTCGTATTAGATTCAGAGTTCAGAGAGTTATCCAATTCATTCTCACTTTCTTCTGACTGGCTATTAACAATTCCTTCTTCTCCTTCATCATCTATTTCATTAAGAGGCTATCTCAAAACAATAATAAAAATAACAACACAAGCTGACTATATATACTCTCATCCTTTCTTTCTATCATAACAGAAAGAGACTTCCCTAAGGCTAATCACTCCATACACATTCTGGAACCCAAACCCTCTTACCTGCTTCCACTCCATTGGAGTTTCTCTCTCCAGCACTCACCCTTAATCTCTCTGTTGGCTTAAGTTCATCAAAGACTTAAATGCAAGCAAGCCTCTCCCATCTTACTCTGATCTCATAGCTACCTTGACTATCTTTTCTCTTTCACCACCAAACTTCTTTAAAGATTTATTCCTATTTCTCAAATGCCATTTATACCCTTCAATTTTGTTTCTGCCCTACTGCTCTAAATGATTCACTGCAAACTCAGTATCAACATGTTTATTCTTAAATCAAATGAATATTTCTGTCTTTGTTTTCCCTCAATTCTATGACACCTTAGATTCTGATGATGATTCATTTCTTTCTTTTAAAATTTTTCTTGATAAACTTGTTCTTTAACTTCCATGATACTGTATTTTTTAAAAATTTCTTCTTTTTCTCTGGCTGCTCCTTCCAAATCTACCTTATTGGTTTTCTTTTTCTACTCTTCCCTAGTATCTGGTGGGACTCAAGGTCCTCCCTTTGGGCCTTTTCTCCTCTCATTTGATCTACTTTCTCAATGATTTTATCCAAGTCCAAAGTTGCAATTACAAGTCTTTTGCTGTTAATTTCCAAATCTCTTTCTCCAACCAGAACTCTCTTGAGCCATAGACATTTATATTCAAATGCCTAAAAGATATTCCTACTCAATATGTCTGAAACTGAACATCTTCCTAAGTCTTTCCCAGCAATCTTACAGAAATCTTTTTCTGCCAATACTACCTAAAACCATGAACACTGCCACCATCTAGTCAGATGCCCAAGCTGGCAAAAAAGAAATTTATCCTTCTTTCTCACCCATCACAACTAATCAGCCACCCAATCCTGTCAACTCTATCTCATTTTAACCTCTCTCAAATGTATCATTATCCTTTACTTCCTCTTGCACTACTTTGAGCCAGGCCCTTACCATTTCTCAACACAATTCCAAACTAAGTCTTCTAACCAGGCTGCTATGGTTTAAATGATTTATGCCTTCTGAAACTCATGTTGAAATTTAAATCCCAATTATGAGATATTAAGAGGTAGGTCCAGGTGGGACCCTCATGAGTACTGACAGTCCTGCCCTCATGAGTACATAAATCCATTCATGCTATTAATGAATTAATAGGCTAATGGATTATCTCAAGAGTGGTTCTGCTTTTAAAAGCCAGCACGCCTAGGTCTCTCTTGTTATCTCTCTCTTACCAAGTGATGTTTTGTGTCACATCAAAACTCTGGAAGCAAGGTCATCTATAGATAAGACCCCTCAATTTTGGACAAGAACCATGAGCCAAAATAAACCACTTTTATTTTTATAACTAATCCAGTCTGTGGTACTTTGTTATTAGCAGCAAAAAAAAAAAAAAAACAGGCTAGGACAGAGACCCTCTCTCAGTCTTAGCCTCTCTCCAATTCATCTTCCACACCACTCAATCTCATCATGACTACATGCTTCTTAAACTCCTTTAGTGGCTCTATTCTTAATTTCCAGGTCCTTAGCCCTTCAGGACCTACTCCTGCCTATTTCTCTAACCTCAGATCTTGCCACTTCTCCATCCCAATGAAGACATACGTTATTCATCCATGTATCCCAACCTCTAGTGAAGGGCCTAATATACTACACTATGAACAAGTATATAAACTTAGTCTCACTCATTCCTGTTCTAAAGTAAGGTCCAGAGAATTTAAGTAATGCAGTTATAAATGCATCTTTTCTTGGAGGCTCCAGGATATCTACTGCAACATCAGTTTCTTTTCTGATGTATAGTGGTTCTCTCCTTACCTATAAAAGTGTCTTTTTTCTCCTCCCTCACTGCCATTTTCCTCTGCTATCTCAGGTTTATGTTCAGAAGCTTACCTCACTGATCTTAATCTGTCAGTTGTAAATTCAGAAAGAAATTAAGCCAGCTAGGAAAACTAATTATGTCAAGAAAATTATTTTGAAATTACTAATAACATAACTGGCTCGCGTATGAGGATGGACTCTTCTCTTCACCAGAATGAAATCTAACTGCTTTATTCTTTGATGCTAGGATACATCGTACACTTGTTTCCCAGTTCCAAATGACTGAAAGTATGATTGCCAAATAAATAGAATACTACATTATACAATTTATTTAAGTAAATGAAAAAGCTTCCATCAAATATATTCCAACAGTAGGATGTTCTAAGATGATTAAATTTCTGAATATCTGAGAGTTGATTTTTCAACAAGTGCCAAAGCATAAATGTTTTTTTGCTTAACTAATGGATTTGGTTACTTTAAATATGTTTAAAATTTTACTTAATTTCCTTTAAGTAGAAAACAATATAATTAACTTGTCTTTTATGATTCTGGACCTGCATTCCCAAGAATCATCCCTCCAACTTAAGATTCTTCCTTTATTTCATGGAAGGTATAGTTTAGGATAAACAGGTGACTAGGCAAGTCCTAGTCAATCTTAAAAAGCTGCTTTATTTCTTCATGAGCTTTTAAAAAATGTACTTTTTCAAAATTCTTAACATTTTGACTAAAAATTTCAATTGTTAGATTTGGGCTAATTAATATTTTATTAGTATAGTATCATTTCCTCATGTAGTATTACTTTCCATTAAATTCCAAGTTTCCTGGGCAGATATCTTTTAAATATACTAATACATTAAAAGAGACTGACATTTAATGAAATACTATGTTCCTGGTATCATGCTAAATACTTTATGTAATCTATCTCAAGATCCATACAACAAGGTTGTCAGGTATATTTTATTCCAATTTAATAAAAATGAACAAAAAGCACTCTGTGAAAATCAGATATCTTAAGAGGTACTGACAGTGTTATGGAGCCACAGGACCTAAATTAGAATTTTGTCTCTGCTGCAAACTACATGATCTTGAACAACTCACTTAGTTTTTTCGAACCTCAGTCTCTTTTTCTATTAAATGAGAATAACAACAGTACCTAGATCCTATGTAAACACTCAATAAACGTTGGCTATTACTATCCAGTCTCCAATCTTATTTAGGCAAATGGTACTCATATAAAATGCAATGTGCTTGAGTAACTAGCAACCACAACTAGAAGTTATTGATATTTAAGCTTTTAAAATGTTTACCAAAATGCCTACATCAACTTAAACTTCATTTCAGCATGAGCATTATAGTCGTGAGTAGATCACATTACCTGAGGGTCTATGACAGACTCATTAAGGATAGATTGGGCAATAGGATCTTGATTTACCATTATGGGACTCTGAGAGGAATCAGGAGCCATTGTTACATTTGGAAACCCTGAGGACAGAAAATAAGTCATGATGATTTTGTTTAACTAAATTGAGTTCTCAAGTTCTACTATGCCATATATATGCATCATTATATGAAAATCTAAAATAATAAAAACAGCTTAAACTTATATATTGCTTACTATATATCAGCCACTGTTCCAAATGCTTATATGTATATTAACTCATTTTGACCCTCACAAAATTGTATGAGGTAGGTACTATGATTATTTTACAGATCAGTAAACTAAAATTCAAAGTTTCTTTTAGCAAGAAAATAAATTTGCTTTAGTTTCAAATTGTTTTACGCAGATTATATATAAATACAAGTATTTTAATTATATGGTAACATATTAATAAGCTGAAAAGCAAGCCTCATTTTAAATTATGAAATCCTGTATATTACACCATATTTTTCCTTGAATAAGCATATATTTTTTAAAAATTTAAAGCAAGATAATATTTCATATTGTTTATATTTGTTATCTGTGGGAGAACTGATCCAACACAAGCTACTTTGTTATTATCAGACAATAATAGATTTTTTCTTAACAAAGTGAAAAAATTTGATTTATGTTTATCCATATAAAGGATAAAAGATCTTTTTAAAATTTTTCATTCTAATTTGTTATATATGACAGCAGAATGCATTACAATTCATATTATGCATATACAGCACAATTTTTCTTATCTCTGGTTGTACACAAAGTAGAATCACACTATTCCTATCTTCATACATGTACTTAGGGTAATGATGTCCATCTCATTCCACCGTCTTTCCTACCCTCATGCCCCCTCCCTTTTCCTCCCTCCCCTTTGCTCTATATAGAGTTTGTCTATTCCTCCCATGCTCCCCCACAACCCCATTATGAATCAACATTCTTATATCAGAGAAAACATTCGGCATTTGGTTTTGGGGATTGGCTAACTTCACTTAGCATTATATTCTCCAACTCCATCCATTTACCTGCAAATGCCATGATGTTATTCTCTTTTAATCTTGAATAGTATTCCACTGCGTATATAAACCACATTTTCTTTATTCATTCATCAACTGATGGGCATCTAGTTTGGTTCCACAGTTTATCTATTGTGAATTGTGCTGCTATAAACATTGATGTGGCTGTGTCCCTGTAGTATGCTGTTTTTAAATCCTTTGAGTATAGACCAAGGAGAGGGATAACTGGGTCAAATGGTGGTTCCATTCCAAGTTTTCCAAGGAATCTCCACACTTCCTTCCATAGTTGTTGCACCAATTTGCAGTTCCACCAGCAATGTAAGTGCCTTTTCCCCCTACATCCTTACCAACATGTATTGGTCTGTATTCTTAATAGCTGCCATACTCACTAGAATGAGATGAAATCTTAGAATAGTTTTGATTTGCATTTCTCTAATTGCTAGAGATGTTGAACATTTTTTCATATATTTGTTGATTGATTGTATATCATCTGAGAAGTATCTGTTCAGTTCCTTGGCCCATTTATTAATTGGGTTACTTGTTTTTTCTGGTATTACACCATATTTTAGTATATAATGATTTATCTTCCTTTGCTGAATAATTTATAAGTTAATAATCTTAGTAAAAAGCAAAAAAATTACATAAAGTTTAGCCCTAACAACCTTATATACTACCTACCTTGAATATTTGTAATGCAAATAATATAATGCCTGAGAAATGAATTTAAATTTCTTCTAAACACCCACTTGTGGGCTATAGTTAATAAGAAAAAGAAGCTTTATTTTAATTAACTATTTACCTGTGCGTTTACGAGGAACATCAAACAGATTTTTTGCTGCAGCCAACAAATGATCAGATTTCTCCAAAACATCCTGCATCTGGTATTGATCAGAAAGAATCTAGACATGTGTTAATAACAAATATTACTCAGAAAAAAAAATATATATATATACTCTTCAAATCACAAAGGAAAAGACTATACAAAGGCACAGAGCATAAACCATAAACCACCACCTAAAATCCTTCAGTTACAATATCCTTTAGTACCAGTAGATGGGGCTATCACAATAATTAGTAGTTTGCAAATGGGTGGCTGCAATCCAAAGTAATACATATTAAAATTGTAACCCAGAACACTCACATACATGTAAATGTATATGAAACAAAAGTTTATTTAACAAACTTTCTGCATTAAAAGTACTATTATATTTTCTTTTTCACTTCTATTTTTTAATGATGGTGACAAGATACTAACTCAACTTCATAATCCATTAACAAATTATCATCCACAATTTGAAAAAAAAAGATCAAATATAAAAATCTTTGAGCCATAAACTCAGAGGTGTTTCAACCACTTAAATGATTTCATAATCTACACTGGGTCATGAGTTACATAAAAAAAAAAAAAAAAAAAAATGAGTGTTAGAATTAAACAAAAAGGTGATGTCTCTGTGTTTTAAAAAAGTTGTTTTTTTAATCCCAAAGATTTGGAAACTAAAAAAAAAAAAATCACATTACATTCCTCCTTCTGATTACACGCTTTTCCAGGACAGAACTTTCATAATTACAAGCAAAGCCACAGGCCAAAAATGAGTCAACTCCATCTACCACCACCAGATGGCATTCTTAAATTGAAAGGAGTCTCAAAATTAAGAAGCTACCTAGTTTCCAACACTGACTCAAGTCAAAACATCTGGTAACAAATATTCCTATCAGAATTTTTCTGTATCATGGAAATAATTACACAATATAACCTCAGTTGTAGTTTTATGATACAGAAAGAAAAATAAGTTACTTTTCCCCTTCTTCACTTGCTGTGGCCAAGCAGGTCAGCTAGCTCAGTTGATAAGAATGAAGTCCTGAATTTATTCCTTCCACAAAGAGTAAGCTTTGGAAGGGTAAGATCAAGAGCACATTTGGAGCTGGAAGACTGGAGTTCTAGGCCCAGACAAAAAAATGCTAAGCAAAATCCAACCTCTTTAAACTTAATTTCCCAAGTTGCAAACACCTCCTCAATCCTACAGAGATGCTACAAGGATGTAGACACACTGGAAACTTATGCAGCACTCTAGAGAAGCTTTAGCTACTGTTATGATGTAAATTATATTATCCTATAAACCAAATTTCTATCACTGATGAGTCCTCTTACAAGTGCATGCAATTAAAAGCTTAGGAAAGAATGTGATCTATTAATCTATCACTACACTAGAAAAAATTATAAAAATTTATCTCTTAATGACAAGAGATTTTTTGTTATTGTTGTTGTTTATTTTTGTGGTGATAGGAATCAAATCCTAATGGAAGTTTTTAAGAGTTCACTATATTTTTTTTAAAAGAGAGTACTGATCTAACAAAACCAAGAAACAGAAGGAAATTACAGAGATGCAACTGATACTAGTTATAATTGAGGTCTCAAGTAAAGCTACTGCTCTACCCCCTTCTTCTAGCCTCTGACCAGGCTCCTTGGGTACATGGTTTGAATGACCAAAGATCTATGTGCTGGATTTTCTTTGCTCTTTGGAGATTTATCACTCCTCTCACAAAACAATTCTCTTGATAGGTAAACTGATCTCTGTAAACCCATCTGTATATATTTATACTCCAGATGGATTTGCAGAGCAAAAAATTAAACTTATAAGTAGTGGTGTACATCTTAGATTTTCAAAGGATCAGTCAGGAGCCCAGAAAAAACATTATCGGAAACTCCTCATCCTAGCCCTTTTATTGCATGGTAACAGAAACCAGATGAAATTGAGAAATTACAAAGATACTTAGGAATTTATTACACTTTCGGAATTTATAAAAGGCTTTATGAAAGGCTCCCTTCCTCTTAAATTTGAACCTTAATTGTGCTTGATTCCTATGGCCTATTATATCATACAGTAAATGAAATCTAAGATTATACTAGCCAAAGAGCTTTCCTATTGATTTATATTAATCTAGGAGTCCAGTTTCAGGGAGATGGGTCCTGAGAGCTTCAGTGTATAATGATTAAGCCTACATGAATATTCTTATTGAGAATTTTTTTAATATTATGACATCCCTTAAACATAGACATTACAAATTTAGTAACACTGAAATAAAAGATACACTTATCCTTTGACTCAGCAATTCTTAATAATTTATCTTACAAATATATATCTCCAAAAACATACTTAAGAATATTCATTACATTATTTATAGTAGCAAGGTAGGAAGCAATCTGTGGGTGGCATACATTGCTACTTATCCACTAACACCCTTTCTTCTGCTTTGTGCTTTAACAGCAGGACTCCCAAGTTTTAGCAAGTATATAGGTAGATTTCCAACCATCTTTGCAAGTGAGAATGGTCATGCAATGACTTTCTGGCCACCAGGACAGATACTAACATTTCTGGATGGTATGTAAAAGGAGTACATTGTCTTTTCCTCTCTTTGCTGGCTTGCATACAACTGAAGAAAGCTGCAACAGTCATTCTATACTCAAGACAGAAGTCATGTAATGAAGGACTACAGGTCTCCTACCAAATACCATTTACAAATGAACTATTTTATAAAAGAGAAATAAATCTTTATTTGGTTTAAATGACTATGTTTTAAGGATTTTTGTTCCAGAAATTTACACTGCATTATAATATAAAACCTAAGTGTCCACCAAAAAAGCATGATAAATAAGCTTTAGTATATTTATACACTACTGGGAGTTAAAAAGAAAAATTAGAGGGCTCTCTTTGTAGCTCCATGGAAGAGTGCTTACCTAGCATGCACAAGGCCCTAGATTTAATCCTCAGCAACACACACACACACACAAAATGTTGATTTCTAAGTATTAATATGAAATAAATTCCAAAATACGTTGTTAAAGAGAAGAGAAACAAGTGAATCCCATTAAGAGCAAAGGTTTTCAACCCCTCCAGCGCATTAAAATCACACAGCAAACTGTCTAGAAAATACCTGTGTGGAATCACACTCCAGGTCAACTAAATCAGACACTCTGGGTAAAAGGTCCAGATACAGTAATAATTTTTTTAAACATTTTTTACTTGTTGATGGATCTTTATTTTATTTATTTATATATAATGCTAAGAATCGAACCCACTGCCTCACACATTCTAAGCAAGCACTCTTCCACTAAACTACAACTTCAGCCTCTAGATACAGCAATAATTTTTTAATGGAGCTTCTCAACCATGGTAATTCTAATGTGCAGAACCACTACACTAGAACTGAAGGAAGCTGCACTACCAAAAGAAGGCAGAGCAACCTTATTCATCCTCTCACCACTCAACTTCCAATACCTTACTTCTACCACATCTATTACTTATATGAGAAATTTAGGACATGAGCAGGAGCCACCGGAGAAGGAAAACAAAAGCTCAGGGTCTGATACATTTCAGGGGGACTGGGTTTCTTTCCTGGTCAGATGTGTATTTTTAGGACTTTTGAAGAGAATTAGCATATAACATTTAAATGTGTGTGAACTTGTCCAAAATCACCAAAATATATTTATCTGGAAAGGAGCATTCTCTTTTCAATTCACTGTTCTTTTCTCAAGGACAAGAAACATTTATTTGGTAGGTATAATTTTTCCTGATGATGTATAAAATGAAGACTTCCTTTTTTCATTAAAAACCCTAATAAATTTCTGAAAAAAACAGTGTGATTTACACCTGCAATGAAAGATTACCCAGACAGCTAAGTGTCAGAGACTCTAATCTGAACAAGAAGCACAATATACATTTCTTTACAATGATTTCAGCTCAAATTTAAAAGAAAAAAATTATGGTTATAGTCTCCTCTTATTTCCCACATTGTTTATCCATATATTATCTGATTACTTGTCCAAAAACCCTATATTGGGCAAAAGGTTAAGCCAAATACCTGTGTGGAATCACACAGGTTTATAGTTTACTAACCATAAAGGACACAGCATTCATTTTTTGTTGTTTTGCTAAGTAACTTAACAGCACTGCTGTTGAACTGAGAAAAATAACTATAGCACTTTACATATAAAAGGAACTAATTATTTACCAAGGACTGTGCTGAGCACTATATAAGTATTATATCATTAAAATCTCAAAAGAAGGCATTTTATAGATGAGAAAATTCAGGCTAAAAAAGTAAATAAATTGCTTAAAGTTACACAGCTAGTAAGTTGTGGAGCAAGAATTCAAACTGCCAAATCATCATTTGCTGCTACTTTAAAAATCTACATGTAGATCATATAGATATAGTAATAACTAGTCTCTATAATATCAATCAAGTTGAGGGAAAAAGAAACCTATTTTTCTCTTTCCTCTAATTCTAAAGGTAATGCATTTTAGCATTACCTCTCTCATGATAGACAATCTTCTTTTCTCAAGACTTGAAGATTCTAGTTTCTGCTTCCTCCATTTTCTCTTCAAAGCTTTTTCTTGGAGTTCCCAGTGCACTAAAGCTCTATTCTTCGATTTATGTATTTCATGACGACGTACCTATATAGAAGGAAAAAATTTATGAAGGAATGTTTTCAGTAACAAAGAGTTTGCTTATTCGGATAGTGGGACAACATAGTCTTGTTCAATCACTTTTAAATCCTTTCTAGTCCAACATACGCATGTTTATATATATTTCACAGCAAATTTTCATAGGCCTCTAAATTTTCAAAAATGATCTTAAAAAAAAAAAAGGAGCTCTCTATAACTAGGAGACCTAGTTAAAAAGACAGTGAAAATAATACTGATTTCTACTTCCTTTGTATAAGACTATCCATTAAACTAGTTTTTCAAATAATAGAACTCATTTAATGGCTGGTAATATCAATTAGTGTGTCAAAACTAATATTTTATACACACACTGACCCAGAACAATGTAAAACAGTGTTTTTATAGCCCTAAAGGTTTCATGTGGAAGTGAGTAACAGCAAATACAGAAATCCAGGGAACTGGATTTCCTCAGGCAGAAGAAGAGATACGCAGCCACAAGTCTTAAGAATTAAAAGGGAGGAATTCACTGAGGTGGCTAAAGAATAAAAGCAGATAACTGACGTTACCAATACTCTAGCATTCAGGACTATGAACGTAAATAAACTTCATATGTCATCTAACAAAAGGTATTGTTGAGTTTTCACCATGTAAATAAGAAATCTGTCCACTAAAAGGTTAACAAACAAATATGCAAGGATTCTGATTCACACACACACACACACATATACACACACAAACCCAAAGATAATATTTTTTGAGACAATTACAGAAACTTTAACATGTACTAAATATTTCTCCAAAATTGTTTTTACTTTTGTTGAATATGATAATGGCACTGTTGGTATGTTTTAAGTCTGTATTTTTAAAATGCAAGCTCAATATGTAGACATAAAATGACATTTTCTCTGGAGTTTGCTTTAAAATATTTCAGCGAAGGAAGAAAATGTGATAAATAAAACAACTACAGTAAAAATTTAATAACTGATGTTTCAAAGGAGTTCTTTATATTTCTGTCTCCACTTTGACTTGAGTTTGCGATTTTTCATTAAAAAAAAAAGTTAAGGGGGAGAGGCTGTAGCTCAGCGGTAGAGTGCTTGCCTCGCATATGTGAGGCACTGGGTTCAATCCTTAGCACCACATAAAAATAAATAAAGTTATTGTGACCATGTACAACTAGAAAAATATTTTTTTAAAAATGTTTAGTCAATTGGGTATCACTATTATTCTCAATAAATACTTAAGGAGTACCTAATAGGATTAAGACTACAAGGTCTACAAAGATAAGCACAATTACGTTCTATCTCCCAAAGCATTAATAATCTGCCTAGAGAGACTGGGTATATCCATATAAGGTTAAATGATATGCAACAGATGTCATATACTCACTGTTTTATTTAGATAATAAGTGAAGCCACAGTTCAGAGAAGAAAAAATGTTGGGCAATTTCAAACACCAAGACTTCAAATTTACTACAATGCTATAGTAATCAAAACTGTGATATTGCATAAAGAAAGCCATATAGATTAATGGAATAGAATTGAAAGTGTAGAATAAACCCTCCCACTAATGGACAACTGGTTTTTCAACAAGACTGCCAAGGTAATTCAATGGGAAAAAGAAGAGACTTCTCAACAAATGGTGGTTGGGCAACTGGATATCACTTGTAAAAAAAAAAGAAGTTGAACCCCTCCTTCACACCATATACAAAAATATAAAACTTAAAATTAATCATAAACCTAACTATAAAAGCTAAAACTATAAAACTCTTGGAATGAAAGATAAATCTTTATGAACCATGGGTTAGTTTTCTTGGATATAACACTAAAAGTACAAGTGGCAGAAGTAAAAATAGATAGATTTGACTTTATAAAAATTAAAAACTTTCATGCTTAATGGACACCATCAAGAAAGTAAAAAAAGGGCTGGGGCTGTGACTCAGTGGTAGAACACCTACCTAGCACATGCAAGGCCCTGGGTTCGATCCTCAGCACCACATAAAAATAAATATATAAAATAAAGATATTGTGTCCAACTACAACTAAAAAATAAAATTAAAAAAAAAGAAAGTAAAAAGACAAGTAAAAAAAAATCTGGGAGGAGAAGGAAGATGGCGGCGAGGGGAGTGCATTGCCCCCGTGTGCTGCTTCACTGTGTGGGAGTATGACAAGTCAGGACGGCTAAAGGATATCTTGTTAGGAATTTCTAGCAAGAGTGGGGTGCTCCGGAACCAGGAGGAAGGATTTCCATCGCACGAGGATCAGCTACGGGGAATCAAACGCGAGAGGTTTGTCGCACGGAGGGTAACACTGCTTATTCAGCAAATCGCCCCGCGGCTAGAGTCTGCAGCGCGCGCTGGGATAGAGACGCAGGGTTACAGCGCTGCAGTTTCTGCCAGCCGCGCAAGCACCGTACTCAGGGCTAAATTCTGGGTTCGAGACGGGGGAAGGAAGCGTTCCATCTCGGTTCTCCACACCGGTCAGACCACAGAGGAGGCCAGCAGCCACCATGTTGGTAAACTGACGTCACCACCCCTGTTTTCGACTGACCGCAGCTCATTCAGCCATAGAACAGGTAATTTCAGGCTGCAATTCGCCTGCGGCTTGCAGACAGATTGCTAGGGTTCAGCGCCTGGGTGCTTCTTAGAACCTGATCTTATCGGAGCGAACACCCAGCGTGGGGCGGCCGAGTTCCGGCTCCCGGAACCGTCCCGGAACCGCCCTGGCCCAGGGCTGCTGAGCCTGCGGAGGCTGCTTCTTGGACCCTGCTCCTATCAGAGCATAAAACAAGCACTAAGCAGCCGAATTCCGGCTCCCGGAACTGAGCCCGCGGGAACTGCTTCTTGGAGCTTACACTTATAGGAGCTTACACCGAGCACGGAGCGGCCGAGTTCCGGCTCCCGGAACTTCCCTGGCCCGGGGCTAGGAGCCCGCGGAAACTGCTTCTCGGTCCGGGTCCTGCTGAGGGCCGGTGAGGACTCACCCGGTGCTTTGGTTAACCAGCAAGGGGAACGAAATGCTGCCATTCGCATAGGATACCAACATGGCAGAGATCTGATGTCTGCAGAAAGCGGCGGAGGAGGGAACTTCATCAATACCAGCGGTGACATAAGCAGTTGGTCTCCTGTTAGGGGGGGTGAGGCACAGTCACCCGAGTCTCCTCAATTTGTCGTCGAGCCAGAGGGGAGGAGCCGGGCCGCCGCCAGCGCCCGGAGCAGGCCCAGCGGCTCGCCAGCGTGGTGACCGCGTGACCCCAATTGGAGAGGGGGCGGAGCGGAGCCGCCACCCGCACCCGCAAGGTGGGCAGACCCGCGACCCAGTGGTACATGGGCGTGGTAGGAGGGGCAGGGCAGAGCCGCCGTTCGCGCTTGCAAGGTAAACAGACCTGTGACAGCCTGGTGGGTCAGGCCCAGTGGCCTGCCAGTGTGGTACACACGTCACCCCAACTGGAGTAGGGGCAGAGCAGATCCTTCTCCCACGCCCGGATCAGGCCCTGCCGGTGTGGTGGTCACGTGACCCCAATTGGAGTAGGGGCGGAGCGGAACCGCCACCCGAGCCCGCAGGGTGAGCAGACCAGTGATCAACCTGCAGATCAGGCCCAGGGGTCCGCAGGCGTGGTAGGAGGGGCAGGGCAGATCCGCCGCCCGCGCCTCCAAGGTAGGCAGACCTACAACAGACCAGCGGATCAGGCCCAGGAGCCTGCCGGCGTGGTACAAACACCACCCTAATTGGAGTAGTGGCAGAGCAGAGTCGCCGCCCGTGCCAGGAACAGGCCCAGCGTCCTGCAGGCGGGGTAGTCACGACACCCCAATTGGAGTAGGGACAGAGCAGAGCCTCCACCCGTGCCCGAAAGGTGGGCAGATCTGCGACCGACCAGCGGGACAGGCCCAGTGGCCTGCCGGTACGACAGACACGTCACCCCATTTGGAGTAGGGGCAGAGTAGAGCCGCCTCCCGCGCCTGCAGGGTAGGCAAACCTGCAACCGACCGGCGGATCAGGCACGGTGGCCTGCCGGCGTGGTACACTCGTCACCCCAATCGGAGCAGGGGCAGAACAGAGCCGCCGCCAGCTCCCAGAACAGGCCCAGTGACCTGCCAGCGTGGTAGCCATGAAACCCCAATTGGAATAAGGAGAGAGCAGAGCCGCCGCCCGCACCTGCAGGAAAGATACGCAAGCAGTATGAAAAGACAAGGAAAGAAAGGACCACAAGCAATGCAGGTCAACGCAACTTTAGAAGAGGTAACAGCTGCAGCAGATGGAATGTCAGATAACGAATTCAGGATATACATGCTTCAGATGATCTGGAGTATCAAGAAAGACATTAAACAGCAAAATCAGACAATGAAAGATCACTTCAACAACGAATTACGCAAACAAATCCAGGAAGCAAAGGATCAACTATACAGGGAGATAGAGGTTATAAAAAACAAACAAACAGAAATCCTAGAAATGCAGGAAGCAATAAACCAACTTAAAAACTCAATGGAGAATACTACCAGCAGAGTAGAACACTTAGAAGATAGAACATCACACAATGAAGACAAAGTACTTCAACTGGAAAAGAACATAGACAGCTCAGCAAGACTGTTAAGAAACCATGAGCAGAACATCCAAGAAATATGGGATAACATTAAGAGACCAAACTTAAGAGTCATTGGGATACAGGAAGGTACAGAGCTCCAAACCAAAGGAATGAGAAGTCTATTCAATGAAATAATACAAGAAAACTTCCCAGACTTGAAGAATGAGACAGAATCCCAAATCCTAGAAGCCTACAGGACACCGAATGTGCAAAATCATAAGAGATCCACACCTAGACACATTATAATGAAGATGCCCAACTTACAGAATAAGGAGAGAATTTTAAAAGCTACAAGAGAAAGGAAGCAGATTACATTTAGGGGTAAGCCAATCAGGATAACAGCTGATCTTTCAACACAGACTCTGAAAGCTAGAAGATCCTGGAATAACATATTTCAAACACTGAAAGAAAATGGGTTCCAACCAAGAATT